TACAGAAGGAACATTTGATTTGTTTCATTCAGGTCCATCACACTAACAATTATAAATACAAACCACTCCATCCAATGTGACATGTAAGTTTTTACTACACTAAAACTTATCTCCCTTACATGTTTCGGTCCTTACGAGCCATCTTCAGAGGGAACATCATTACAAACTGGAAACTACCATCACAATAGGTGTTTTGATTTAAAATACATNAAAAGTATCTAGATGTTATTTAAAAAAACCTTTATTGTCATTAGTTAAAATTTTTTTAAACCACGTAGGTTCATGTCCGTACTCCTATCGTCCTTGTATGGGGCAGATTTTGTGCCGCCTGTCTGTCTTGATGAGGAGGTTCTTGATGTCGTCCAGGGTTTGTTCGTGGCTTGCTGTGTTGTTTTCACTGTTTTCAGCTTTATGCGTACTGTGCATTATAGGATATAAGTGTATGTATTTTAAATCAAAACACCTATTGTGATGGTAGTTTCCAGTTTGTAATGCTGTTCCCTCTGAAGATGGCCCATAAGGACCGAAACATGTAAAGGAGATAAGTTTTAACGTAGTAAAACTTACATGTCACATTGAATGGAGTGGTTTGTATTTAGAAGGAACATAGACTGAGAGTGTTTGAGAATAGGGCGTTGAGGATAATATTTGGACCAAAGAGAGATGTAGAGACAGGAGGTTGGAGGAAACTGCATAATGAGAAGCTTCATAACTTTTACTCTTCTCCAGGTACAATTGGAATGATCAAGTCAAGGGATTGAGATTGGCAGGGCATGTAGCATGAGTGGGGGAGAAGAAGAATGCAGATAAGGTATTGGTGGGAAAGCCAGATGGAAAGAGACGACTGGGAAGACCAAGGCATAGGTGGGTGAACAATATTAAAATGGGTCATAGAAAGATAAGATGGGATGGTATGCATTGGATTGATCCGGCTCAGGATAGGGATCAGTGGAAGGCTCTTGTGAACATGGTAGGGAACCTTCAGGTTCCATAAAATGCTGGAAAATTCTTGAATAGCTGCATAATCGGCAGCTTCTCAAAAAGGGCTCCACTCCATGAGTGAGTGAGTGAGTAATACAGAGGGATTCTGTTAATGTAGGCTTGCATAGCAGGTTATGCCTTACCTTATTTAATTGCTCCGAAAGTGCAGTTAGTCAGCTGATCGGTAACAGGCCCAACCATCACAAAGTTTAAGCTCCTTATACTGTGCTTGCATGGCTTCACCTTATGATGGCCTGTCTTAGATTGCTGCTGGCTCTTGCCAGTACACTCATTCTTGGTTTTGAACTCATGTCCTAATTTATGTTTGTTCCAAGGCCAGTTGTATCTTTATTTACTTATGTTGTGACATGACCTTTGAAATCGGGGATAGTGTGTCAAGAACAGACGGCCATTGGTAGTCAACAGTCCCATAAACACATTTCCTTGGCAGCAAATATGTAACAATAGAGGAACTGTTTCAAGCGGTGCTTTTCTATGCTGTCCATGCCTAGAACCTAACCAGAGAGCTAGTTTTGAGTCAGTTGCCAACCAGCAAGGACGTAAACACGGAACTTGAGGAATATCCATTGTTAAGAGCCGCTACCTAGCATGACTAATGAATACGTAACAGAGTGAGCGACTTATTGTGTTCTTTAATCAGTTGTATGTTTTGTATATTAGTGAGAGTACTATAATCACTTGTATTTACGACTTATAGTCCTTCAGTAAATTTATCAATCCAAACTCCATGTCTAGTTGCTAACACGTGACAATATTTTCTATCACTCGCACAATTCCATTAAGAGAGGCGGCGCTGAATCTTTCTGATGACATAAACGAATTTTGTTGTCTGTAGCATATATCACGTGTCAACAGTGATGAGGACTCCATGAACAGTAGTAGTAGTAGTAGTAGTAGTAGTAGTAGTCTTTATTTCCATAAATCCAATACTAGAAATACGTTCAGAGGATGTGGAAAAGTCAAACAAAACACATAAATAAAAACAGTACAAGGTACCAAGTCAATATACAGATATGTTAAATAATACTACTGAGATCATAAAAACATAATTAGTACCAATTCAACACTTCCTATCAAAAATACTCAAAATACACTTCCAAATATATAAAAGAAACAACAATAAAATACAGCACAATGCTAATCATACAGATATAATAAAATAATACAACTAAAACCCAAGAAAATAACATGTATATATTGTGGCGTATTTTCTTTATGCAGAAACTGTTGAGCCACAGAGGCCGCGGGGCACGCGCGCAACGGGAGAGTTGCGGATTGTATCGGCGCGTTGTTAGGCGACAGTTCTGTGAACGCTTGGATAGCACAACAGAAAGTGCGAGTGACGTCACATATCCCCACCCAACCTGTCACTACGCAACGCTCGGTAAACACCCCTCCCCGGTAGGCCGTGACGTCACACAACAACAGAGTCCGTGCAGCGACCGTTGCTGTGTAATCGGTTGGTAAACATATTCCAACAATATACGCTGTTTTCTGTGTGGTCCGTGAGACAGACAAGTCAGTTGAAATATAGCAGCCGCCGAAGACAGTTGAAACCTGGAAGTGAATGTAGCAGAAGTAAATGAGACACTGAAATTGTGTGTGGATAAGAGGTCCCGGGTTCGATTTCCGGAGCCATCAGATTTTCTGACTAGTGGTGAGTTTGGAACGGGGTCCACTCAGCCTTGTGAGGGTAACTGAGTAGCTATGTCAAGAAAATAGCGGTTCCGGTCTAGAACACCGAAACTAACGGCCGTGTGGATTTTTTTATTATAGAAAAAATATTGTAAATACAAAAAAGGCCTAGGCATTGCCCATCCAGCCTTCTGTCGCACATTCTTATAAATAACTTATACTACAATAGCGGTTACCCAGCGATTCTTAATATAGATCTTAAGACCTAAAGGACCATGAACATCATTTGGAGGTATAGAGAAAAGACTAAGCGAGCGAAGACTACCTGAGGAAGCCGCAAAAAATACCGCGAAAGACAAATTTGACGCTAGGAACCCTTAAAGCGTAAAATCTCGAAGAATAAGAAGAAGAAGAATAATAACTACGCATCAGTACCTAGCAATTACTATCAATAGTCCCCGACGAAACCAACAAATGGCATTATTGATTGTCCAGTGCAAGCAGTACCTCAACAATATCAAATTAAATGATAACAAAGGACTAATATGCAGATTATGCATGATACAGAGCGTTTAGTGATCTTTGCTGCAAGCAAACGCAGTTATTCTTTCACATTTGTTATTACATATTGCACATATACAGGTTGAGTGTGAGAAAGCTTCCATTTGTTGTTTATATGTTGAAAATCATGCACTGCTAGTTCAGCGCTGACATGGCGTATTTCGCAGTGCGTCTGGGCCCGATTCCGATAGATCATTGCGTCGGTAACATAGAATCACCCAAAATGGAAACCTACTTATTATATTCCTTCTGGTGTCGAAGTAGATAGGAGAAGGACCTAGCATCTGTGCTCGACGAGAATGTACAGAAGATGCGACACGACCCGGAGGGACTTTTTAAAAAAGAACACATGCATACCTTCAGTATTATTAGATGGGTCCAGATTACTCGTAAGTGTATCTCAGATTCCAACATTGGGATTATCTTCACATCGAACGCATCATTTCCAGCGAGAGCAAATCGACATTCTTAATAACATGCGTTCCTCAGGAAGCAGCTATTGATTTCGTATTCCAATGCAACCCGACGGTTGTTTCCAATGTCTGGAATCGAATTCCCAGATTCTTGAAGGATTTTACCATGTCTAGACTCTTGTTCCTGCGCGTTAGATGTTCATTTATGAAAAGTCTCCCTCTTTTCCTAAAAACTATTTTATTGCCTTGTGTTTTAGTTATTTTTAAATCGTTTTCCGTTAACCATTGAACGATTATGAAGAAGGCCTCACTCCCTTCTCTCCTGTCCGTTGGTTCAACAACCATTTCGTATATGTACAAGTATGAATACCATATCTGCAGTTGTCATGTTCAAGAGCAGGGGTCTGAGCAGGTTACCTTGCAGGATCCCGCCTCTCTGACGGTACTGCTCGATATATTCATATGTATTTCCTTGTTACGATTTCGTTGTGTGCTGGAAACTCCATTTTTATGCCGTACAGTGTGTTCTTCGGGACTAACGTATCTTTTAATTTTCCAGCTATTTTCTATGCATGTAGAAGGTCGAAGGCCTTTCCGTCGTAAATGAGAACAACTCAGTTTTTCATTTTGAACTGCATAGATATGGAGCTAATTGTTTCTGTCTGAATCGTTGATTTACTTGCTCTGAGTCCAAGCTATTCATTTGGTGTGTACAACTTAAGTAACTCCACCGGCTTCTCTGTGGGAAGGTTCAAAAACACTTTAAGGCCTTATTTTTTAGAGGTCTTTCTTTGTAGGAGTCTGGATTACTCATGTTTCTTTTGCCTGTCTAATAGATTTAATCCTTGCCTTTCTCGAAGGTCTCGATATGCATGTGGTCTTCAGGCACTCTTTCATCATTTGTGTCCATATTTTCAATATTACATATTGTGACAATTTGAGGTGTTTACTGGATATCAAATCTTGGATTTCTGCTTTCTTGCTCTCCGTTTAGTCCAATTTTTCGTTACTTCTCGCCGCGTGAAAAGCCGGCTGTCGTGATTTCCATCGAGTAATGTGTTTCAAATTTCTTCTACTCTTTAGATGAATACTTCAATGTAAATAGAGAATGATGTAAAATTAAGTTATATTAATTTTTAAGCTAAAATTGCCTGTACTTATGTATGTAACCTTTTGACTTGTTCTGTATCCAAAGGTACTAACCTACTTAGGATTTATAGAATGTAAATAAATTCAGTTCAATTCAATTCAATTATTTCTTTGCTTTGGCGCTCCGTAAGTGTCTGTCCCAATCTGGCCTCACCGCTACTGCCATCTACTGTCAGCCACAACGGACGACTTTGCCGTATGCTACCGCAGATTGTTTTGTAATGCTTCTGTGAATTTACTGTACCCAGAGACCCGGAGACCCGGAATGCCCAGGATTGCAGGCGGTAGTTGCGTTGCTTCTGGCTTGTAGGTTATGTAACGTAGTTTTGGTGCATGTATATGTTAAGGTAAGTTTATTACGAGGTTTTATAATTGCAGTAGGTGTATATAAAAACCAGTTTTCGTTCATAGGTAAAGGTAAAGTTGTTCACCGCGTAATGAGGATGTATGAGGAGTGGAGGTATAGCTTCACAAGGTTAGGGATATAGAAATTATTTTTGTATTCATTGACACCAATTTCAGATAAAGCCCTAATTCAGAAGAGGTTGTAAGTGATCTTGTGTAGTTGTACCCTATTTTGGTCAAAGTTAGGGACAAGAGACATGAAAAAATGCCATGCCCCGACTTCCATATATCTTGATGTCACTTTTGCATGTGGTGTACAGTTCTGTCTAGAGGATAGAGGCAAAAGATTCTTTCAAAACATTGATATCCGTCTACCAAACTGCTCAGCATGACACCCTCTAAGACCATAATCTTCACAACCAAGAGAACATCATATCACAATTATGCGAGATTACTCTATATGCAGTAAAACCTGTCTGAAATGGAATCTCAAGGGTCCAGAACATTTTTACACGGAAGCCAGGTTTCTGTTTAAACAAGGTGTACTATAATAATTAAATGAGGACATGCACGTATTTGAGACAACATAAAACACCATACTCGTTAATTTATTCGCACTATAATCATTGAACACATGCAAGCATTATACTGAACAGAAAAAAATTGCAGTATTCACTTTTTATAATTTTCCAAAACTCAAGTAGAGTTTTTTGCACGCAGTGTACTCTGTTGGCTGCCAGACTGTCCACGAACACTTTAGCTTGAGAAATTACACTAAGCATGTCTGAATCACGCCGTTGTACGGTAAATTCCTGCAGTTCCTTTAAACTTCTGACATCATCTTGATAAGTCTTCACTCTGCACTTTTCTTCTTCTATCACAATGTCATTTTCCTCCTTTTCCTTCATTAAAAACTATGTGATGTCTTTTGTGAAAACTATCCAGCTATCAGTTAGATGTTTTGAATTCAGTCTTCTCCAGTTTTTCAGCGACCTTTTTAGCATATTCCTGTGCCATAGGACCTGACATGCAGTGCTTTTCTGCCCTGACACTGCCCAACCACGCCCACACTATTTCATTAACATCTTTGTTTGCAGTTTTCGTAAGTTCTCTTTTTATTTTTCCATTTACATAATTTTCCCAAAATTTCCGTTTTCTTCTTTAGAATCTCATACACTTGAGGTTTACCAACGTTAAACATATTCATTATCTGCTTAACATACAATTTATTTCACTCAGTTGCATGAATCACTTTTACTCTTGTGTTAGGATCAAGCACAAGTGATGCATTCTGGAAGACTGGAAATTTTCCATATAAAGGCTTATTTTGATTTCTGTTCCCACGTTAGACAGTTTCTGTTTAATCCAGGATAGTTAACATCTTTTTCAGCTCCAAAGTCACGAGGCCTGAAAATTCGTTTAGTAAAGGGTCTGTTTAAGACAGGTTTTATTGTATAGTAGTTATATTAAACCATCACCACAACAAATGTGTACTTGCTTTTAATGTTTACAATTAAACCTTTATTTTGCTACATGTTTCAGTCACATAGAACCATCATGAGGAAGTTAATATGGAATACATCTAATCATTGAATTAACTGCCTGATGATGGTTCTGTGTGACCAAAACATGGAGCAAAATAGTGCCGAAACATGTTATGAAATAACAAGTGAAATTGAGTGCACCAAAAGACGGACACTGCATACATATCATGGACTTATGTTTCTTATTTTCTTATATTTTGTTCTCCTTTCTGGTACACACACTTAGTTCATGCAGATTTATAATTCCATGTTGTATGTTAATTTTTAAGTCATTTGGTTTCTGGTGCAAATCCCAGTGGCATTGTTCTCAAATACCGCAGCATTATGAGTTAGCAGTTGACGAGTCTTCAGTGTGAAGAAACTTTGGAGCTAGAAGTTGGTATACATTGCTTAAATTTTATGGGTCAGGCATATAATTTTGTTTTAAATTTCTTCATATTGAGGTATTTATTGTTTTTGTGTTTTTGGTAATTGGGAAATTGTGGAGCTTTCATAAAAGAAGATAAAGGTTATGTATTTTTGTTATAATTTTGTGATTTGAGTTAGGGTGTTTGCTTTTGGTGTTGGGATGGCTTTTATTATAGGTGGTGAATATAGATTTTTAAGTTTAAGGTCTTTCATTCTGGTCCGTCACATTAACCAATTAACAATCAAGTTCCTTCCGTCAAATGTGACACTTTTTTAAGTTTTCCACCTCGTCAACACCTGCCTTACATGTTTCGGCTCACCACGGAGCCATCATCAGAGGCATTTATAGTAGAAAAAGAAATCACCAACACACAAAACTTCACTTTGTCCAAGATAGCCACTTTCCAGTTAATTAAAATAATTACAAATAGTTAAAATTACCCAGA